CGTCTGCCGCACTGGGCGGCGTCGGCCGCCATCGAGCATATATGGACATGCCCAGTGCCGCTTGACGTGGCGGCTGCGCCGCCCACTCCAAGGAAAAAAAACGTGGCGGGGCCGCAGCACTCGCAGGCTTACGCAAATACACACGCACACGCATGGACAGCACACACACGCACATGCACAAACACGAGCGCACAGACACGCAGACGCAGCGGCAGTGCCGCAGCGGACATGACCACTGCGGCGGTGCCGCCGCCTGCGCGCAAGAGATCGCGGCGAGGCCGCTTTTGCGAGCATGCCCTCCTTTTTCTCTCTCCTCGGAACGATCCTAAGTATACTATATATAGTGGTATATAGTACGCACGCATCCCCTAGTTGGTGACAAATCCCCTCGCCCGCCAGCAGCTGGGCGTGCAGCCGCAAGTCGATCTGCACTTTGTGCAGCCTTTGGGATACAGCTGATCCCGCCGGCTACGGCAAGGCATCCGCTTCTTCATCTGCGGCTTTGCCGCGGGCCTTTTCCTCCCTGACGCCGAAGATGCCGCTGCGGGACGCTTCAGCACAGGAGCCTGCGGCACAGCCACGGGCGTTTTCGAGACGGCCTTTGCCGCTGCTGGGCGCCTGAGCACTGCTGGCGGCTGTGCGCGCCGCTTGGGGGAGCGCGCCTCCTCTTCAGCGCTGGCAGGGCGCTTCGTGCCCGATGCCCGAGCCTCCATCTTCTCCTTCAGCATGGCAACTGTGTTGGTCAGTGACTTGGCCGGCGGCTCAGGCATCTCAGGCGCCTTCTCCACGGGCGCCGGCGGCGCCAAGACGATCGCACTCGCCGCCTTGCTCTTGACTGTGCTCGCGGCTGCCTGCTCTGCCTGTGTCTGCGAGTGCTGCTCCTGAGAGCTCTCGGCCTGCGTCTTCGAGCCCTGCTCCTGAGAGCTCTGGTCCTGCGAGGATGCCAGGCGCTGCAACGGGGCTGGGCTTGGCACCATGCTTGGCATCAAGCTCAAGGCCCGCCGCGCAGAGGACGAAGCCTGCGTGTACTGGATGTCCACCTCGCCCGCCCGCCCAAAACCTTTTCCATGCGCAACCTGCATCAAGGTCTGAGCGAAGGCCTGCGAAAGCTCAATCGGCATCGGCTGCAAAGCCGGCGGGCCGCTCTGGAGGTACGGCGTGCGTCTCAGTGGCACGGCCTGCATGAGCTCCCTCAGACGCAAGTACGGCACCGGGGGCTCCGCAGGCTGGTCCTCGCCAAAAACTGCGGCCTTATACACCTGAGGAAGGTCTTCGAACAGATCAGGCAGCCTGCTCAGGTACATGCCATCCGGCACCTCGCGCTCCGACATGTTGGCCCTGGTCATGTAGGATCTGCACTGCGCTTTCACCTGGTGGTACCATGCCTGAAGCTGAAGAGCCGGCTTCTGCCAGACGTGCGCGTGCCGTTGGTTGAGCAGAACGAAAAAGGCCGCGTACGTCTGCTCGGACGGGAAGCGCATGCCCAAGGCCGCGGCATGGTCGACCAGCAAGTTCAGGCACTGAAGGTTGCTGGGGTACTCGGGCACACGGACCAAAACTTCCCACTGCTGCGGCTTCAAAAAAAGCGCCAGGGATGTGTAGTCCTGCAGGCGCCTTCTGCCGCCACGGTCGTAGGCGGATGCCATGCCGAAAACACTGGTGTGTGCGCAGCTGAGCGGGCACTTCTGAGCCAGGCGCGCGCTCTTGCGTTGGAGGTATGGCCGCTGCGCTCATGCATGCAGGACGCGAGCGCACACAAAAGCGGCGTCGCCGCAGCTTGGTTCCAGCGGCAACTGCCGCCGGCAAACATCAAAGTCGAAAAATTTCTACACGTGTATACAAGGTTTCAATGTAATTTCGCATGTATCTGTGCAAATCTATACACAAATATACAAATGTCCGTGCTCTACAACTGCTGGCTTGCACAAGCTAGGAAATCAATAAAAACCCTAACTGTTTTAACTGTTTTAACTGCTTTCAGCCCTGAAAAATAACTGTTTTAACTGTTTTAACTGTTTTGAATTTCACGCAGCTCGTCAGCACTAAAGCAGTTATCCCAGTTAGCGACTGATGCAACTGGTGACCAACTGAATCAACTGCTGCAACCATGACTTATAACTCCTAACGAACCCTAATAGAAGGAATGCTGTCTTCAGGTCCATGTGAAATATATTCCAGCCCTTGTTTGCGGCTGCTTAAGGTGGAAGCCACTCCTGGATGCAGCAGGACTGTCTGTCTGCTGATCGTTCTTCTGCTTCTCTTGAAAACCCTGGAGGACCCGTCGGGCTTTCGTCTTCAGGAAGTTCCCGTCTTTGTCTCGCTTTCGGGTAAGAACCCAGCGACCGGCGACCCAATTCCTGACATGAATCTTTCGTGTGTCGACCAAGTCGAACACTTCATTGTCAAGCCAAGACTTGCACTCGAGTTGTTTGGCTTCAAGAAATTGCTTCTGGTAAGCCTTTGTCTCAGTAGCTGTCGCTTCCTTCCGCTTCTTACCGATAAGTGCGGATGTGGATGAAGCTTTCAAGGATTCTTGCTTGGAAGAGTACAATACCAAGAGTGCTCGGTCATCGTCGGCCATGTTCTTGCAAAGCCGGTCAACATGATCCTTGACTGTGTATTTCTGATGAGAGAATCCACATCTGCTGGATGTTTTGAAGGTCCCTTTCACGCGTCCAAGAGGGACCTCTCGGAACGGTGAAGGATCCTGTGTTGGCACAGATCTTCTGATCGGATGTCATGAGTGGCCAATGTGCTTCATCAAGAACAAGGTCTGGTTCCTGATCGTCGTACTGCCTTGTCCTCTGAGAGTCTTCTGATTCATCTTCTTCTCGGTCAGTGTACTGCATAGTTCTGTGAACTTCCAGTGCCGGATGAAGTTGGAACGTGAGGGAGTAGCTCTTCCTCACTGTCTGATTGCATCGGCAAGTTGACTGGATTGGCTAGGATGGCATCGTCCGGCTGCATGCAATTCAAATACCAGATCCGGGATGTTGGAGGATTTTCGATAATGAAATATCTTCTGTGCTTCAGCTGATATCGCGCGATGGATGCCACGAACTCAACCATGGGCATGTAGCGCTGTCGCTTTTCCCAGACTTGCTGTTGGTCTTGTTGGATGTTCTGCATGTTTGACCATGGTCCACAGACTGGCGCCATGAGCACGAGATCAGGCGCTGATGATCTCCATAACCATGTGTCGCCCCTGTGATGCTATTACGTCAGATCCGCTGCGGATGCTTATTGGTGTCCCAACCTTCAAACCGGTGAGTGCACAGCATTGACGGAATCTGGCACTCCCTGCAAAGATCTCGAGAACGTGGATCTTCCCCTTACGAACGGATGTCATATCTTCCACGAACATGTTCTCTGCAGGTCTTGATGCTGCAGGCTGGGGACTTGATTTGCCAGCAACGCGTAATGGTCGTGAGGATGCTGGCTTCAGAGTTGGAATGGATGATCCCTTCTTATTGGAATCGGTCGAAGAACCTCCTTGTTCTTTCTGCAAGGATCCTTTCTCATCAGGCAATAAGAAATCAATTCCAGGTTTCCGCGGAGGGATGGTTTCATCCTTTCTGACTTTCGTCATGTTGACCTTGATGAGTCTTGCTCCGAGAGCAAGTCCAACCATTGCTCCGACTCTTCCTCTTAGCCATATTCCTTCCTTGCTTCCGTCGGAAAGAATCTTGGATTAAACACTTTGTCCTTTACCTGAAGAGGTTTGGAGCTCATCCTGAAGTTCTTGCATTGACGAGCCTCTTGGAATGCCTGCTCGGACAGCTGCTTGATTTGGATTGCTGCAAGCTTTTCTTCATTCCGGTCGATCGTCAATTGAGTTGGTGTTGCGACATCAAGTTGTATGAGATCTGCAGGTCTTCGTCCAAATGCGAGCTCCAGAAATGTTACATCCCCGTAGCTGACAGTTTGATTTCTGACAGTTGCTGCTGCCTTCACAAGTTGTCGGCATGTCACTTTCTTCAATGTTGCCGGCGCATTGCCTGACTTGATCGAATTGAGCATGATCTTCAGCTGAGCCTTCAATAACCGAACTGCTGATTCAGCTCGATTTGGCCTTGGTGTATTTGGTCCCAGCGATACTGGTGTAATGTCCAGGGATTGGTAGAATGTGTTCTCCAGTCCCAAGAGGAACTTGACAGTGATAAATGAGTGTCATGTCTCCGAATGTGCGGGCTCGAAGTCCACTCGTCTTGCTTCGTGATGGTGCATGTTTTGCTGCTTGGCAAACTTCACATTCAGTTCGGATCTTGTCAAATAGATCGTAGATTGATTTTGGCAAGTCAAGCGCGCGAGTCCTGAACCGAAATTGGTCTGTAGTCATGTGATGATGCTGAAGGTGGAGCTTTTTCAGCTCTTCTGGTTTGGACAATCGCTGATGAATTCTACCTAAGGCAAGCAGAAGTGATGTGGGTTCTTCCTTGGATGGCGTTGCAGGATCTGGCTCAGTAGTCGACTGGCCCTTCTTGTCGATGATCCTGTCTGCTGCCGATCCTGAACCGGATTCTTTGTCCTTCAGCGAGTCGTCCCCGAAAGTGAAAATGGTCTTGCCTGTTCACAAGTTGATCAATGGTTTGTTCGCCTGTGATGTAAGTTAGGCGTTCTTAAAAAGGCCTGTGCGGTAGTCCACACGCAGGGGTGCAACAAACAACTTTCAAAATCAACAATGTTCTTTTGAAACAATCATATTTATGTTGAATATTCTTTTGATAGAATGACTGTTTCTAAACAAGTTTTTGAAACATCTTTTTCAATTAAAAACAAGTTTCACAAATACTGAGAAAGTTTCCAAAACAACTTTTTGGGCATGATGAAATATTTCTTCTTTTCTTTGGCAGCAAGTTAGTCAAATGAAATGGTTGTTGACATCACCGGTCACTTAATCCAGAAGCAATATCTTGGAAACATTTGCTTGGCGAGATACTGAAGGAGTTACATTGAAGCTCTTTGGTAAGCATTTTCATCGCAGCCTGCCCTTTGGCTCAATGGCTGCCCTGGGGCTGGATCAGGTTTTGGAGCTTGCCAACGAATATGACGCGCAGGGCAATGAAGGCCGCGGTGAAGGCGCAGAGAGGGAGCGCCGGCGCGGCCGGGGTCAAGCCCGGCGCCAGCCATTAGGAAGAGGCCTAAGGCAACGCAATCAAAGGGCGAATCTGCAGGCCCGACGGGCTGGGGCGCGCTTTGCGGTCAAGAAACGGCAGCTTGTCTTGCAGAGCGAGCACTTCAACAAGACAGGGCAGGCGCGCACGCAGGATCACCAGCTACCAGATGCAGAGCTCAGCAGAAAGGTTGCCACAGGCAAAGGGAAATGGAAGACCTGGACGCCCGAAGCTGTTCTTAGGGCTGGGTTCGGGCACGAAACAGCGACCTGCAGACAGGTAGCGAGCGAGGTGGAGGGCGCGTCTGCGAGCCATTCGCGAAATGCTCGGTTTGCTTGCGCGTCGGCGGCTTGCAGGTTTCAAGAACAAAGCTGTGAGAAGGTCGCAGCAGACTCGTTGGCCCGCCCTTTGAAGTTTTTCATCAGAAGCTTGATGTTTGACGAGTCTAGCTTTGCGTTGAAGGTCGGCACAGACCCGGCAAACAGCTGCTCAGTGTTGTGCAATATGCGCAGTGGGCCATGGCCTCTCCTCCCAGCGTGGCGGGCGGCCAACCCACTGTCAGGGACGAGCATGTTGTCCGACCTCCGCAGATCTTGGCACCAATGAATAGCGCCACAATGTGGAAAACATTGTCGGAGCATCCAGGAGGCCTCGGGCCATGCAACGTGGCAGCCGAGCACACTTGTACGCTAACTACGTGCGATTCCCATTCAGCAAACATCAAAATGCTTAAGCATTTCGACAGCACCCTTCCAGCCGACCACTTGTTCCTGCCCACTTTATGTGCGCAGCACAGGAACGGGAACGTGGTAGAACAACTAACGCACTTGCTGGGGAATTTGTCTGGTTGTTTTTGTGTTTCTCGAGTGCTGAACTCCCGGCACGCGGTGCAAGCCCTACGGCGGCGAACGCGCGCTGCGCTGGAGCGGGACTTGGTTTTCTTGGAGTCCGAGACCGTTGGCGTTCAGGCGGAGTGGGCCGAAGCAAGGTCGCTGACCAGGAGGTTTTTAAAAATGGCAGCAATGTTTGACGCTGCTGCCAAGAAAGATGATGACAGTGCAGCTGACGCGGCCGCCGCTGGCGAGTGTTCTTTCTGAGCGCGGCCCTTGTGCGCTGCCATGCTGCTGGGGCTGCGTGCTGTCATGTGACTCAGCTGTGACACCAAAACAAACGGCTTGATGATGTTTTTCCCTGCCAGGACGACATTTGTCGCGGCGCTGGGTGCTGCAGTGGTCGAGAGGAAGCTGTGGACAAGGCCGAGAAGCTTATCGTGGCCGAGATCCTGAAGCCAATGCCTCTGCCGGCGATGAACAAATGGAATAAGGTTGCCCCTACAGCGGCTCATGTAGTTTTGCTTGGGCTGTTTGCCAACGGCTTTTTGGTCGAGGCCGCCTTCAAGGCTGAATTTGGCGCGCTGCGCGACGATGAAGAGTCTAACAACAGCAACAGCGAAGACGCCAAGCTGGAAGTGCCCATCAATGAAGCCAAGAAGTGGCGAATCCTTGCGCGTAGGCGCAACATGCGCGCTACCAACTTTTTGGCGGAGCCGCAGTCCCTGTGGATCAATTTGCTTTGGTGCCACTTGGCCTGTAGTTCCATGGCGCTGCGCGCGATGCTCTTCAAAAATGCGGCTTGGTTCTCAGACAGGTCTCCGCGGGAGTTGTCAAGGCCCCGGCACTTGCTGGGCATATTCTGCGACCCTGATACCAACCCTGCATGGGCCAATCTGCAAGAGCTGCTGGACATTCTGGAAAATCCCGAGCAGCGCTTGCCCTTCCTTGTGTGGAAGTTCGGCCCTGTGGCCAGATGGCCGCAGGCCCGGCGTCGAATTGTTCGGAAGGCCATCATGGTAATGACTGGGCAGCTGGCTCGCAAGTTGATTTTGCCGTGGAAGCAGTATCCTTGGCGTCTTTGGCCGCTGGCCTTGCAAGATGTTGACGAGCGGGAGCGACAAGCTTGCGCGCAAGCTTTGCTGAGCAGCAAGCCTTGCTGCTTGGACAGTGGCTTTTCCAAGCGTTTGAAAGCTTTGCATCCCAGGGAATCGGAGCTTCTGAGCGCGGAGGTTCGGAGCTTTTTGGATGCAGCTTTTGCCAGGGTCACAGTGACATCCACTTTCATCGAGCGCATATTTTCTCAATACACCAATTGGTGCCAAACGCAGCCGAAATTTCCCACTTTGGCAGCCAAGCATGTGACCAGCTTCTGCAAACGCGCCTTTGAGGCTTGGACAAAGAAGCGCCCTGAGGATACAACGTCTTCTTGTCCGATTTCCGCAAAAACCTTCGAGCGCAAGACGTTGGGGGCGATGGGGGCAGGGCTAATTTCGCGCAAGACGCCACAGCTGCTTGGCGGAGTCTTTCTGCAGCAGACAAAGCCTCGTACAGCCTCCGAGCCAGAGGCATCAATGGCCTGCGGAAGAGAAGCGCAGAGAGCCTTGAGGAAGCTGCCCCGGAAGCAGATGAAAGCGGCGGCCTATGGGGCATGTGTAACTTGCAGGAGAAGTGGCCGATTTCGTCCAATGTGCTCCGAGCAGACATGGGAGAAGAGCGTGCCGCTTTGAAGGAAGTGGGAAGAGGCGTCCGGGTTCGCAACAGTGCTTCTCACGAGTGTTGTTTGAACGCGATTTCCGCAAAAGTGAGCCCGCTCGTGACTCATTGCGTTGACTCTCGTAAGGACGTTCAAAATGTTGCAGCCCCTTTGCCGCTCGCTGCGCGTTTCCAGGACCACCAGGCGCTGATTGAGACGGACGACGACCTGCCAGATGCCAGCGACAGTTTGTTTTCTGTATGCCCGCACGGTGGGTACGAGGCTTCGCTGGGAGAAGACGAGCTGCAGGTCTATCGTGAAATTCACGATGATTTGGTGACAGCGTTCAGGGCGCACGAGCCTCTCAAGCGCGATCTGTCAGCCCACCCGCTGATTCTGCAGTGGCGTTCTTCTTCCAAACAGCAGCAGAGGTTCGCGGCAGTTGCCTTCAACGTGCGCAAGGCTCCGTGGGACATGGTGATGCTACAGCTGGAGCCGCAGAGTGACTCGGATGGCTCTCGGTGCCCTTTTGTCTTGAAGATGCAGCGCGGACGCGGCGTGCGCCTCTTGCGTGCAGACATTGAGTTTTGCAACGAGCTTGCGCGCAGCGCATCAGTTTGGGCGCTGTTCAAGCTTTCCCTTGATGATTTGAGCTCCGGAATTGGATCGTTCCATGTCTTGCGGCGCGAGGAACTTACACGGGCCTCCCTGCGACAAGCCGCAGAGGAAATGCGGCAAATCCAAAGAGCTGCAAGGGCTGCGAAGCTCGCCCAAGGGCTGGTCGTTGCCGCAAAGCGACAGAAGAGAGGCCAAGGCAGACGCAGAGGGAGAGGCCAGCGGCCGCCGCCCTTGCAAGGCGACGACGACCTTTCCTTTTCGGAAGGCTGGGGCTCAGATTCGGCCTCGGAAGCGGAGGAAGTCGAGGCGAATCCTGCCAGCTCGTCCGCAGGACCAGGGTCGGCTAGTTCGTCCGCAGGACCAGGGTCTGCCGCTGCTGCTTCCAGTGGGCCTGCTCCGCCGGTGAAGAGCAAGCTGCAATCCAGAGCCATTCCTTGGGGTCCATTTCAGATCGCGCCGATCGTCCCGGCCGCGGGCCAGAGTGGGTGGGGAGCCATTGGCGGACAGCATTGCGATCAAGGGAACACGCTGTCTTGCAAGAAGGCCGTGAGCCGCAGCAGCACACTGACTGATGCTGACTGCGTTCTACGCCTGAAACGATGGCTCCTTGCGGGCCACTCTGACCAACAGTGGCCGAGCCACAGGCGACGCTCGCACCACGTTGAGCTAGGTGGCAAAGGCTTGCAGGACTTCGCGGATGGCATGACAGAAGCAGAGATGGATGAGTTGGTCGCTTCTTGGAGTTGATCCACAGAGGCCGCCGGCCGTAGCTGCGTAGCCGCTTTGCTGAGATTCTGGCCATTTGCGTTGCTTTTTGTCTTCCTTTCAGCTACTACAAAAACTGGTAGTCCTTTTGAAGAGACACGTAGCCGGCCGGACATTCCTTTCTGCGTTTCTTTGAAAATGTAAGTGCGTAGTACAAGTTCCTATCCAGTTTGAAGTTTCAGAAGCTTGTAGAATAAAGAAACATCGCAGAAGTAACAACAATATTACAATACGACAATATTTTGTGCACGCGTTTCCAACAATTGTTCAAAAGTTTTTCTCAAAATATAATAAAATATGTTTCGTAGAGAATCTCGGTTGTTGCGCAGAGATTTTACTAAGTTGCTATTGATGCTTACTTAACCTGCGCAGAGAAACCGCAGAGAAACCGTAGAGAAAAATAATCGAATGTTTCCATAACATGTTGTGTACTTTAAATGTTTAAGGAAAAACATCTTGTTCTACCAAAGTTTGTTTTCCACAGGGCTGCATTTGGCCATACAATGGAGTGGCCGCGCACAAAATCTAAGGACCTGCGCTGGTGGTCCACTGGCGATTGCCAGAGCGTAGCTGCTTGTCGCAGGTCCGTGGCGCTCGCGTCAGAAATTGGGACTGCGCTAGCCAGGCTTTGTCTACTTATTCGTGTTGGGCAGGGCTTGGCTAGAGCGGGCGCAGCAGTCTGCAGTTGTGTTGTTGTGTGCTAGTTGGGCAGGTCGCCTGTGCGTGTGCAGCTTTGGCTCTGGCCGCAGCATCCTTCGCACCCTTGTTTCGGTGGCAGCCATGGAAGACGACGTAGCATCGGTCGCCCCGTCAAGCACAGCTACGGCTGCTCGCGCAGGTGGGCTCTCCGCGCTTCCGGTATCCTTGTCCCTCAGCAAGGCTTGCACCTGTTGCTTATGCAACTGCAAGAGCACAGACGAAAGCCCTTTAGCCTCGCACGAGCTAGGGATAGAATTCGATGACCAATTTTGCCAATACGGCGGGGCGCGGCCCTGGAACAAGTGCCGCAGGGTGCGAAACCCAGAGACCGATGCCTTCAACAGAGTTCCCGAGGGCAGGCTTTGCATGCTTTGCTTCGGCACTTTCAGGTCGCTCGGCTTGGATTACCAGTATTCCTCATACGGTGCCTACCACAAGCATGTGAGAGAGAACCAAGGAGCACACAAAGTTCTTGCAATCAGTCAAAGAGTATATCCGCTTGAAAAATGAAAGCCCGGGCACCAGAGTGGACAGGGAAGCGGTGAAGAAGGCTTCAACTACTTTGCACTCGGAAAGCAAGACTGGGATGAAGCTGAAAGGCAAAAAAAAGGAGTTTGTCCTCCTGGGGCATTGGGGCACCAAGTTGGACGGAGAATTGGACGAGTCCAAGGTAGTGCAAGAGGTGTGGCAGGGCAAAAAAGTGAAAGGCGTCTGGAAGGCGTGCTGACGGGGGAGCAGTACGAGGACACCAACATGTCTCAACGAACTGAAGAGCACAGCGGCCACGGGCCCTTTGCCAAGGAGGCACTGGAAACCAAGCGGGTCTTCAGAAGGTGCTCAATAACGCTGAAGAAGAGAGGCAGAAGCACTCTGTGGCCGCAGGCCCTGCAGAAACACGCGGCGGCGACGTGCTGCAGCAGCTGCAGAAGCTGCTTCCAAGCTTGGGCCTACGTGACGCGCTGCAGAGTGAGCCTGCGCCGAGCTCTGAGGCTGCAGAGGCTACAGAGGCAGCAGAAGAGGAGGAAGAGCCCTCCGAGCAAGAAGAAGAGAAGGGTCCGGCCGCGCGCCTGGTCGCGAGGCTGGGCGGGCCCAAAGCAGCAAAGGCAAAGCCCAAAGCTGCGGCAAAGACAAGCGCCAAGCCCCCGTCCAATTCCGCCTCAAAAGGCGCAGCCAAGGTACCAGGGCAGCCTGCCAGCGCTCACCAACCTGCGTCTTCGACGCCGAAAGGAGCCGCGTAGTTTTTGTACGGAGCAACGCTCCCTAGCTTCCGACCGCCAGGTTGGACACAGCCACCACGGAGAGCTTTGTGTCGCTTGCAGGCAAGGAAAGAGTCTGGCAATATCAGGAAAAACTACGCTCCTGCCTCGCGCGTGCGTGCACTTTTGACGCTGAGCGCCCCTGTTAGCTTGAAAGCTGTGTAGATTGCCAAGTTGCAATGCTTGGGTGAGGGCTGGCCTCAGGTTGCTTGTGTCAGTGGTTGCTTGCGCTCGCAAAGGCAAAGCGCGAAGCTTTTTGGATTAAAGCAAAGCCTGCCCGCTAGCCTTTGGGCCATGGCGCGTCCTTGCGATGGTCGGGTGCTAAGGGCGCGGCCCAGTCTTGACAATGAAGCAGTGAAGAGATGCGAGGCTGAGGCTGAAGCACGAAAGTTGACTAGTCAAGCTTTGCTGAGCGGCTCGTGGCTAGCGAGCATGCCCAAAGAAAACCTACGCCTGTGCCAAGAAATGGCGCCCAAAAACGCTGCTTGGGGGTCCGCGACCTTGACGTGCGGCTCAATGTGCTCCGGCTCAGAAGGCCCAGCGGGCCCAGCGTGGGTATTGGGCGCTTTGAATCAGCTCTTTGAAGAGAATGGTTCCACCTTCCGGCTTCAGCACGCGTTTTCTTGCGAGGTGGCCGCAGAGAAAAGAAAGTGGATCCATGCATCTTCTGCGCTCGCGGAGCCGGCTTGTGCGAGGATTTTCGCCCGCGAGGCAGGTAAGCCTGAGCCCGACGTTGATTGGGCTGCTGTTTTGGCGGCCGCTAACGCGGACGCCCCGTGTGTCTTCTTTGACATTTGTGAGATGGGCGCTGCCCAGGCTGATTGCTGGGAGCATGGCCCTGGAACATGCTGCGTGCCAAGCGTCGATCTTCTGATCGTCGGAACGAGTTGCAAGGACATGTCTCGTGCAAACTCAGAAGTCAGTTAGTCTTCTCGGCGGAGACATCCAAAGGCGGCAGCGCCCAGACCTTTCATGGCTTGATGCAGTATGTGGAGCGCCACAGGCCTTTGATGGTCCTCTTTGAGAACGTCGATTCGATGGAAGACGTGACACCCGGCAGATTTTCCAAGCTTTGCTTTGCCTGCCAGTCTGTAGTGCTTTCCATTGTTTTATTTCCATGCTTAGCTGAAGCAAGCAAGATGATGATGGCAGTTATGCTAGGCAGCTGGATCGTCTGCAGCCACTGTCTTGCGTCCTTACTTTCAGCGCTAGTTCGTCAGACATTGGATCGTAATGTTTGGGCATGCTCCGTCAGGAAAGCAGGAGGGTCCTCGAACATGGACGTGTTCATCAACTAAATGGCCGCCCACGGATACGAAGGTCAGCCCGTCCTCACAGACAGCGCTGAGTTTGGCTTGCCAGCGCGCCGCAGGCGTTTGTATGTCTTTTTGAAAAAGCGTTGAAGCCAACCCTCTGCTTTCATTTCACGACAGAAGCGTGGATTGCATTTTTTCTACGTTCAGCGCCCTCCTATCTGGATGCGCTCGGAGCGGGCCATGTGCTTCTGAAATTCTTCTTGGCGACAATGACCCTGCTGTGGCTTCTGAACTACGTCTGAAGCAAGAGCGGCGCGAAGGGCTGGCTCAAGCAAAGCCGGTTGCTGCTGACTGGCCAGACCAGCACATGAGGATGGCCGCCGCCTTGCGTGTGAAATGGGGGCAGGGGGCGCAGCCCGAGCTTTTGAAGAATCCTTGGTACGCAACCTTGACAGATAGGGAAAAGGACGCTGTCCCGTTGTTGCAGGCCCAGCTTCCTGCCACACTGATGCGAGACTTGTCCCAAAGCATCGCGCGCGCTAACGCTGCTACGTGGAAGGCAGAAGACAACAAGCACTTGGCTCCCACCATGCTGCCCAAAATGAACGTGTGGCTCGAGCCCGCCGGGCATCGCAAGGTCGCGCGCCTGATGCATGGCCGGGAAGGCTTGTTGTTCCAGGGGTTTCCAGCGCTTCTCTTCTTGGAGATGCTGGACGCTTTGCAAGCTGCATCGAGCGCCGCCGGCGTTGTGAGCCACGGTGCGCAGCACTCAGGCAGCAAGAGCGGGCCGAAGAAGTCGAAAAAGCAAAGCGGCGAGAGGACGGACTTCAGGCCAAAAGATCTCTCGCGCACCTGGCGCCCAACAGAAGTCCTGACGCAAGACGTAGCAGGCAATGCTATGTCGCTGCCTGTCGTCATGACGATGTTGCAGTGCGCGTTTGCTTCGGTGAATTGGCGTTCTGGTGCTGTTAGCCAAGCTGCGGACGCACCTGTCTCCACGCAAGAGGACTGGCGAGATGCCATGTGCTCTGTTTTTTGGTTTGCCTTCTTACTTCTTGGGACTTGTGTTTATCCATTTATCTGTATCTCTAAAGCCGCAAAAAAAGATGTGATGTGTAATGTGTAATTTGTAATTTGTAAGCGGGTTCAATTGTTCGGGAGCGCTCGCTCTTGTTATATCGTAACTGCGAAAGCTCTGCAGGATGTCGCCTCTGCCATGGCCGCACTCCGGGCAGTCGGGCTGTGCGAGGCCGCGGGCCATGGTGCTGAAGATCCAAGATCCCGAGCTTGCAGCCATAGTGCCAGAGCCTCCAAGCAGAGGGGTGGCCAATTTGAAGCGCAAACTCAAAGAGCGGAAGTCGCAATGATTTTCCGCGGAGTGTCGGAGGGGGAGAAAAAAGGGATGCGCAAGGGCATGCCGCTGGTGCTTTCACAGGTTGCTTTTGAGGGGCTCCTTCGGGGCGAAACTTTATATTGGAGAACGTTAAACGTTCAACATTGATTCACCAATTGCAGTGATCATGTGCAGCTACGTTTTTATGTTGAAGTGGCCTTGCTGTGGCTTGAGCCTAGGTTGACGCGCAAATTGGCTTCTTTCAAACCCTTGCCCGGAAATACTGAATATAGTGTCATCGTGCCATGAGGCCACTCTATCATGGGCTTGCCATGGGCTAGTTCCCCAGCGCGTTTGACAATAATTCTACACATGAAAACAAATCAGGCACAAATATGAATTTGTTGTACAATGAAAACTTGTTTAGAAAGATTCAAA